GTTATGGACTTATGGTTGAGTAAATATTGCATCTCGAAGACAAAATCTCTGGAATATCCCAAACGCTTTTGGGTGTGTGTGTGTTGGGGGGGGGGGGGGGTCGCATCACCGCGGGTGCAGCCGTGCAAGGTAGCAACGCTTTTGCGGACCTACGGGGCCAGCCGGGTCATATTCTCGCCTTTGAGGAGACGGTGACTACAGCAAGTAGCAACGCAGTGTCAGTATCACGTCAGGTCCTTTCTTGGAGGGAGGCGGGAGGCCCTTGCTGATCGTGCACTGAGCTATCGTTCATACGTACGGTGATGCACTGAGGCATATGCTCGACAAAAGTTGGTTGTGATCAGTTTTGTTTTCGGTCCGTTCATTCTGCTGTCAATTGAGTACGCTAAACGCCTAAACACCGGTTTGAAACTTGTCATCAATCTTGTGTTATAAAAATTTGCCGAAAATATGAAACATTACTAACATTTCTGTTCTTATCGGCCATGTATCAACTCAAATGTGCCAAACGATAACACAAGACATACGATATGCAGACAAGATTTAGCCAAAAAAAACTACATCCCGACTTCCCGAGCTCTGATTATAACTTTTCTCCCCAATCAACGTAGCACTCTTAGCTTGTGTTCGTTTGGATTTCGAAGAAGCTGGGACCCTTCCCTAACACGTAAAACGGAACGATAAATTAACACATAATTAATTAAGTATTAGCTAAAAACTTAAAATGATTAATATGTTTTTTTTAAACAACATTTCTATATAATCTTTTTTTAAAAAAATTAATGTTTAGTAATTATGGAAGTGTGCACTTAAGAAACGAGAAATATAGCGTAGAATGTAGCCTTAGCCGGTATGGGTTCATGGCCATACGACCATCATCCCGCTATGTGTATGTGCTACATTTATCATCAGTGTTCCAGCCCACTGAGAAAGCGAGAAAGGCCCAGGGTCTTTCCGACTAGCAACGCAAGCTGCAAATTAGCCGGTTCGGATTCGAGCCTCACCCCCTCCTTAATTCAAAATCAATCTAGTCTTTCCTAGATTGGTCCCATTCAGTGTTCCAGCCCACCGATTTATCTGGTGATGCCAGTTTGGGAATCTTTGATAAAAAAAATGGTGGTAAGTGTTTGTTCATATATCTTCACGTGTTGAAGTTGGTCAGCGTTATGACTACATCCGTCTCACATCTTTTATGGCTTTTCAAGATATGGATCGTATTTGTTATGTGTTGATATGTTTAATGTCTTATTTTCATTTTACAATAGGACCGTACATTGTTTCTTATATGTAATATAATTAGCCTTATTTAAAAAATATTTTTATTTAGTAGGGCTCCAAACTCCAACTCCCAACTCTAAACTCTAACTCCGGTGAGAACTGGCTCCTATGAGAGCTGAAGTGGATATGAAATTGTTTGGATAGATTGGTTACACTGGTGGAGAAACCATCTTTGGTCGGTCGACCCAAATCCACAATAGTCCCAGTTCCATTAAAAACCGGGACTAAAAACGTTTTTTAGTCCCGGTTTATAAGCGTAACAAGACTATATGATCTTTATTCCCGGTTGGGGTTACCAACCGGGACTAAAGATGATGTTTAGTCCCGGTTGTCTCCATGTCAGACCATGTCAGGCGGCTAGGATCTCCCGGTTGGTAACACCAACCGGGAATAAAGATCTAACTTTATTCCCGGTTGGTGTTACTAACCGGGAATAAAAATCAACACATACTATATAATCCCTATTACTTATCCTCTTTTCCTGTCCACGCAACAAACTCTCTCTCTATCTCTTTTTTCCTCTCTAACTCCCTATCATTATCTCTTTCTTCTTCCTTAGCGCCGCTTGGATCGGAGCGAGAGGGGCCGGCCGATGGAGCGAGCGGGCCGGGAGGCAGCGGGCGGCGGCGGGCGGCGGCGCGGCAGCGGGTGGCGGCGGCGCGGCGTCGGGCAGCGCCGCGGGGGCCAGCCAGCGCGGAGGGGAGGCGGCGCGGCGACGCGGCAGCGGGCGGGCGGCACGACGGCGGGCAGGGCCGCGTGGCGGTGGCCAGCAACCGGCGTGGAGGCTAGGCGGCAGCGGCCGGGCGTCTCCTCTGCTTTTTTCTTAAGAATTTGTGATTTATTGCATGATCATGTGATGAATTTGATTTGTGTGTGATGTGAACTTGTGATGTATTTGTGATGAATTTTGTAGAAACTTGTGATGTAACTATTTTTAGGATTTATGATGTATTTGATTTATGATGTAATTTTTTAGAACAGTAAGATTTGTGATGTGGACTTGGGATCTTACTTTGATTTGGGGTTTAATTTGGGATATGCATACCACCCAGATTCGGGAGAAAATAAAAAAGGTTTGATTTGGGATATGCATACCACCTAGATTCGGGAGAAAATAAAAAAAAATGGCTATAAAGATGGATTTTTTAGTCCCGGTTATTTTAACCGGGACTAAAGATACACATCTTTAGTCCCGGATTGCTACTACTGGTTGGAAACCCGGGACTAAAGGGTGATTCCCAACCGGGAGTAAAAAGGGTTTCTCCACTACTGTTAGCTCCACGCGCACCACGTCCCTTGTTGGCATTTCGTCGAACACCTGGTTGGTGTCGCCCTGCCGCCACCGCTGCCGCTCAGCCCACGCGCCATCGCCGCCGCCCGCCCCCGCCACCGTCGCCGACACTGCTCCCGCGCGCCGTTGGCGTGGCCCTGCCGCCACCCGCCCACCGCCACCGACACTCGCCACCATTGCTCGCCACCGCCACCGCCACTGCCGGTCACCGCTTTCAAGGGAGGAGAGGGGGTGTGAAAGGGGTAGTTCAGTGGCATATCACATAAATACATTAAAAAAATTTAAAGGCTAGCGGGTCTTTTGGGGTGGATACCGGAGTGGAGCTGTGGAGCAGCAAAAACCCAGCTCCACCCCCGTAGTACAAATTTGTGGAGCAGCTCTGCTAAATCCGCTCTAAAAAAGGAGTATCTATACCGTTTGGCATAACTCTAACTCTAGGTAAGTTAGAGTTGGGAGCTATAGATGTGCTAAACGGGGCTTTAGTTTATAACTCCTATATATATTTCTAAAATTACAATTGTGTTTCACATACATATGTGGCTATATCAAACTGCATTCTTACTGTTACAATTTAGCTGACTTTACATGGAATTAGGACAAAAGTTTATTGGAAGGTAAAATTATTTCAAATCCTTTTTAGATACATTTGTATTTTGTGTATCACTAGTGTCAGAGTTATGGATAAGACATACCTTCTATCCTATGAGTCATGAGATCTACGAATATGGTATATCTCATGACACATAGAAAGGATACGTGTAAGTCAAGGAAATCAGTTTATTCGTATGGGAAATATCCTTCACGAGTAGGACCATATCAATATCATACTCGGAGAAGGAGAAGATTGTATTGTATCGTGCGAAGTCCAATGTCTCCGAGTTCTACTCGGAGACCAAGCGATCTACGGTATAAATACATACCCCTGAGGGGTACAGGGCATCGAATTATAGCGCAAGACACCTGCCACCATTGACACAATTTGGAGGACTCGAAGCCTATCCGCCGGGAGATCTCGTCGAGGGTCTCTCGACAAGGATCTTGCCGGTAATTTTGGGATTCTGTTGTTCTCTATTATACTATGTGGTTTTCCATATCAATCCAATATATGCTTGATTAGGGCTATTACCTCACGAGGGGCATGAAGCCCTGAACCAGTATAATTCTTGTCTTTTTTGTGTGCTTGATATCGTATCGTGTAGATCCTCGTACCAACGTATACCCCAGTACTCTCAAAATACGGTCTATGGGTATCCCCGTCGACAACCAGTCACCTGGTCCTTTTCCTAACTAAGAACGAGCATGAGATCGGTTTAGTTTTCTCTTAATAATGTGATGGATATCTAAGGGCTTATTTAACAAGGTTCAACTCCACTTTAAAGATTTGGATCTGAAGCGTAGTGGTGGAGCAGCCTAAATTCCACTATATCTCTCTAGTTTATTTTATCAGAGCACATCAGCCCTCTCCGCTCCCATTCTGGATGGAGCTGAAACTGTTTGGTTGTGCTCTAGTTCCAAGAGATGTGAAGCTAGAGTTGTAGCTCAGCCAAACAACCCATAAGATGTTTCCTATGACCCATATAACAAGTTTTTACTGGATTGAGATCAGCTGCAGTGGTAACTACAACTGCAACTTAGGACTGCACATATCTTCAGCCATTCATTTTGATGATCAGCGGTCTAGATTTACCGCTACAATGATCAAACTACAGAATGATAGTAATATTTTATTCTATAGTACTTTTGCTACAGTGCTCTGACTATTCTGTGCCATCCGATTCAGATCAAACGGTAGCTGCTATGACTGCATAAGTTGCAGTCAGTACTACTACTGCACCTGATCCGAATCCGTTTTTACTGTACACTAGTGGTACAAATGATCTTACGTTTGATATTTCTGTCACCCAATTCTACTTACTGGCTACTAATCTGAATCAAATTTCACACAGGGATGAGTTGTAAAGAAAAAATCACACAGGGACATAACCATTATGCCAACTCTTGGGCAAGCTCATTACATATTGGCCTAAATCCTGTATTACAACCAACCTTGTTGGCAGCCTACCTTCAGACTGGATGCCTGTTGCTAACAGCTTATTTGAAAATACTCTCCGGTTCCATAAATTTTAACGTTTTAAAAAAAGGTTGAAGTCGATATTTTATAATTTTGAGTACCAATAACTTTAAAAGTATTTAGTTTAAAGGTACTTAAACAATACATATAGATTGCCTTACAAAATACTATGATAAAAGTAAAAAATATATTTATTATATATATTATAATAGAAAAATATAGTTAAAGATGTATTTTAAAGACCACATCATTGTCCAAAACGTTACGAATTATGGAATCCAAGGGAGTATAGTTATGCAAGCACTCCTATTTCTTTTCTCAAAACTCCTTTTAATCATCAATGTAACTTAACCTTCAGACTTCAATCCAAATTCAAGCCAAATAACATAGATATGTACTCCCTTTATCCTAAAAAGATTTAAATCTTAGATATGAATCTGAACAGGATTTAAATTTTTTTGGAACATTAATACAAATTTTGACGTAAGCTTGCCCAAAGTTTCTTTACAAAGTACAACGCGCGCATTCTGAACTTCTGATGACATATGATCCCATTTCCCACTTCCCTCGTAGACAAGCATTCCCAATTCCCCATCGGGCAACGGCTCCGGTGCGGCGGTGCCCAACCCGTACTACTCCTTCAGGCTCGTGATCGACGGCCCGTACGTGGAGCCGTCGTGCCGCTTCCCTCTGGCGCCTGCGGCGGCGGCGGCGGTGGCGCGCTGCTGCTCGTGCTGGAAGTCGCGCCGGATGGACCAGAGGACCTCGGCGCAACGCCGCATGGCAGGGCGCGCCGCGCGGTCCGGCGCGGTGCACTCGGCCGCCAGCGCCATCACTTTCTCCATGGCCGCCACCACCGCGCTGGTCCTCCGCATCCGGGCGTCCATCGCCACCACCGCGTCGCCGTCCCGGCACTTCCGCAGCGCCTGCGTCCACACGGTAATTTCGTCGAACATCTTTCGTGCAACAACTTGGGAAACGTTAAACGTGGCAGTTAGGATGTGGTTTTTACCCATTGCGTGGTGAGGCGTTGGTGGCGGCCGCGGCCGCGCTCGATGGGGCGTCGGCCGGTGAGGAGCTCCACGAGGAGGACGCCGAAGGAGTAGACGTCGCTGCGGTCGGTGAGTTGGTTCGTCCGCATGTACTCTGGGTCTACGTATCCTGCAGTGCCCTTCACCATTGTTGAGACGTGCGTTGCTTCAGTGTTGTCAGGCGCTAGCCGTGCGAAGCCGAAATCGGCCACCTTTGCTCTAAGTTGATCAGTTAGGAGAATGTTGGATGACTTGATGTCACGGTGGATGATTGGATGGTCTGCATGCCCAATTGCACATTGTTGTGAAATGCCATCAGAAATTAGAACGCTAGCAATTTGGTATCATTTTAGGTACCGATAGTAGATAAATTCTGTGGGTTCTAATTTTAATGTGTACAACTTCTCAAAAAAAATTCTCACCTTGAATGTGTGCTTATGTAATTAAATATGGCGATGACATGATTTATAGGTGTTCAGGGCTTTAACTATGCAACGCTTTTGAGCTCACAAAGGTGTCAAACATGAATGCCAACATATTCATGCTATACGCATAGTGCTACTGTTGGTTTATTCAGGACAATTGCAGATTTCCTCTAGGGAAGTCAGCTTCTCAAAAAAAAAGAAGACGTGCTTGTTGATAAGAGAGAGCTATGCCTATGCTAATTGCAATAGAGACTTGTTTCAGTTATATCATGTAAAAATTGTGTGGTCTACCTTACTCCTGGGGGAAAAAAATGAAATTAAACATGGTACCTGTATATCCATGTAAGTACGAGACAGCATGAACTATGTCAATAGCGATGTTGAGACGCTGCGAAAATTCCAATGGTTCTCCTCGCAATCCTGAACAGTGGAAAAGGTTGTGTTTCTAAATGATTTTCAAAGGAGTTTCTGAAAAGAAAAAATAACATTGCATCCTACGACATAATTTGTGTCCCCAAATGTTGAATAATAGATTGAATATCAACAATATTATTAAGTTCTTTAACTATCAATTCTTTTATAAAACAAGGGCATGAGCTCTGCCTCATTTCACTAATAGAATAAAGCACTTGCACTAAAAACACTTACTTATCTGTTACTTCTAGAACTTACTCTGACTTGTACTAAAAACACTTGCATATGTACATCATGCTTAGGGGTTCAACATAGGAAGATGTCAGTGCATTTTGGATTGCAATATATTATTTTGGTGCTTAATGCCATTCAATTCTAGTGACTTCTATCTTTTGACCTATTTTAGCAATATTATTATGAATTTAAGCATGTGTATTGCTCTTGTTTGACATACCATCCAAGTGTTCACGAAGTGATCCATTGTTGACATACTCAACCAGAATTAGGCGTTCATCCTCATGTTCTAGGTACCCAAGAAACTTCACCAAGTTTAAATGCTCAACCTTTGACAATGTCTGTATTTCACTTCTGAACTCTTCAGATAGGTGCCTGTCATACATATTCTGCGAGTTCCAGGTTTTACATGAAAAATGTTCATCCATTTAGTTGCTATAAGTAATCTGCTAGTAAATATTTTGCTCTTGTATTTGAGGAATTCAACTACAAACCTTAGTTGCTCTCTTTACAGCTATGATGGATCCATCCCTGAGCTTCCCCTTATATACAGTGCCAAAATTTCCTAGCCCAATTCTGTTTTGTTCACTGAAGTTTGAAGTAGCCATACAAATTTCCTGAAATGAGCATTGTTCTTGCCATGACTTCTTTTGACTGTCATCGCCTCTCTGTCTGGATGTATTAGTGCTTGTGCTACTTGCTGACGAGATTCTTGAGACTACTGAAAACCACTGGAAACTTTCAACATCTTATTTGCAATAAATTACTCTCAACCTTTTTGCTTGAACAATTGAACAGTTGATTGTTAAATACAGAACAATTGATAATTGAGTAGTAATATATGCTTGTTGGTTTTTGAAAGACATTTGTCTTCAATAAAAGAACCATACATGGACAAGGTACTTAGCTGAATTATATCTATATTCAAGATCAATGAGAAACAGGAGAGTAGGTGCTTCTCTAAATTCCTGGTGCGAGTACCTACAAGCTCATGTTGGTCTCGTTAAAGAGAAACTATCATGCCATATTGCTTTTATAACTCAAATTACAATTTTGATCCAGATTGATTCAGTTCTGATATTATGCTGCAATTCTGCAGTATTGCACTTTTCATGTACGGCAAATCCTAAAAATCCAACCACATCTAACTTGGAAATATAGATATATCTTATGTTGTTTGTATGCAAAGATCATAATATGATTAATGATTTCGTAACTGCAGAAATAGATGTTTGATTGATAAATCAAGAAAGGAAGGTGAGCTTACTTGAACTAATAGAAATATCATGGCCATCGTTTGAGGGCTTGACATGTCCTTCCTTGATTTTGGATTGACGAGGAGCAAAACAGCTTGTGCATCCCCCTGTAATTGTGTCAACTACCTCCCAGAATGATCTTGAGCTTTTGCCATTCTTGCTAACCTTAGGGGGGGAACGAGCTGCATAGGTGGATGTCCAGGAGAACCCAGGATCTGACTGAAACTCATGGTTGAAACTAGTAGACTCTCTCCCTTGGCTGGTGCTTGATGCCCCGCGGCGTCCTGCTTGCATAATCGATGGGATTTAGAGATACTGCTCCCGAGTAATCAGGTAACATGTTTCTTTGGTTATTTCCTTAAGGACTTTTGCAGACGAAGAGTCGAATGCAGTGGACTCATTCAAGTCTGACCGAGTGCACGCCACTGCATAATAATCATATGAAAATAGTAGTTGGTATGGGAGTTCCAGGTCAACCCAATGGGATAGGTGCATATTTATGCATGACAACTACAGTTCGTGGAGATTTAATATTGGAGGATCGATGTCACTGTCTGAATTTATAGGGATGATCATTCTTTGAAGGAGAGAACTGAACCAGGGCATCATTCTCTGCTTAAGTTCGAACACAAGTCAAGTAGCATCGTCTTTTCTGGCTCGATGCTACCAGCCTGCCACTGTGCCATAGCCCATAGGTAGTCTTCACTTCCCATCATCCCAAACGCTACTCGTAAAGATTCAAGATTTTGATCGTAGCAACTGCGATGCATGATAGCTTCTGAGCACAGTAAAAGTACTAAAATAACATGTATCTTGAAATTGTTGATATGATCGTTTATCATGAACTGGATAAAACTGTGAATCAAAGAGAGTACTTAACAACCCTACAGTGGGGCAAATTCGACCATTATATCCCTTATATCACACCCTTCATTTGCGTGTATGGCTAGTCAACGAGACTTCTCTCTCTCTCTCTCTCTCTCTCTCAGCTATTCCCCATGCGGGAATTCTAATTTTTAACAGAAGGAAACTGAAAATCCTTGCAATTCGTTGGATCTTTAAAGCCATCCACATGTTGTGGCATTTACAAAGTCGAAGGTGCCCTATGAGGCTATGACTGTTGAGTCATATTTTCTATTAACTATAAAACTATAAAGGACTAAAACGTATTCCATCTACTTTCCATTTAAAAACTTGACAACCCTCATCAAACCGTGCTTGATTCCAAGCTTAATTCTTGTCAAGTGCCAATCATTTTCAGATCTCTACAACTAATATTACCACACCTATCCTTGACTCACATTTTGGACTCTCCAGTCATTAGTTCTGTGTAACTGCTTCAGCTATCCTTGACTCACATTTTGGACTCTCCAGTCTCCATAGTACGAAAATTCGAATGATCACAGTAGCTGGTTCCATTTTTTCTTCACTGCTACCCCTACTAAATGGAAGCACAATGCCATAATCGGTAGACGTCATAACTCTGTTTGCTTGTGTGCATGGAGCTTTCCAATAGCATACCAGAAGATGATGGCACATAATTCTCCAACCAATCATCATATTCTAGGATAGCAACTGTAGATTTTCTCTTAGGCGCTAGCCAGTGCCATCAAAATCAACACGCTCTCCAGTAGCAAATATATCCCAGAACAGTGTGCTACTGAAGTATAGAAGAGATGTTAATATTAAAAATCCACGGAAAGAACCCATCCGATCGACAAAGAAACCTGCTCCAACAGTTCCTAAAATGGCAGCAAATGTTCCAGCTGTATTTGACATTCCTGTGAATAAAAAATCATCGATTAAACACTTAATTCTGACAGAATAAAGTGCATAACAAAAGCAACGAGTGAACATATTTATTACCATGTAGCACTCCAGCATATTGTGGAGCAATCTCCTGATAAAAGTTTAGGAATGAATTGTATCAGAGGGTAAAAGAGAATCCAAATTGAGGGGGAAAACAGAAAAGATTCATATAGTACATGGCATAACGAGTGTAAAATACCTGAAGATTTACTAGAAAACCTGAGTGACCAAAGGACTTCAAACCTACAGCGATAGTAAGCCAAGCAGAAGCGATGACTGGACTCTTTGCTGCATTTAGTCCAAGAAGAGCCACACCAGGACCCACAAAGCCAATTGTCTGCAAAAGGCATAGTAAATAGTCAACTTGAGCTTCATTAGAGGCAAATTGGATAAACGTTCATTACTGATTAAAACAAACAAATTGCCAATATCACAGAAAATGACATTTCTTTTTTATAAAACAGCAGTATGGCTTACCAATGTGAGAAAGGTGACATGGATACTTCATTAGTTATGGGTTTATTTAATAAAGGTTCAATCAAGAGAAAAGAGGTATCTTGGTAGAACAAATTATTCATGAGGTTTCACCTATGTCAGTAATTGAGTAGTGTAAAACAAATTATGTTACTTTAAGCATAGCATATTATGTGTTACATTCTATACGAATGTGGAGGTGCACCCACGACCATATAAATGACATAAATGAAAATTATACATATCACCCTCCATTTATATAACCTGAAATTATTCAACAGCCCACCTGCATTATCTTCCGAGTCAAAGTGATGCTTGTACCATTTTGGATAAGCCTGTCTGATACAACACCAGCAACATAGCCTAAAACTGCCATCATGACCCAGGGGAGTGCACTAAACCATGCAGCTTCTCTCAGATTAACATGATATATCTGATCACCATCGATAGCAGATTAGCAGTATTACAAAAATGTTGGGAGATTTTTAATTTTCTTTATTCAGCACTCTGAAACTGAATGAGGACTTACTGTTTTGAAATACACTGGCATCCATGAAAGAATGACAAAATAACCCTGAAAAATATAGCACAGCACTTAAGAAATTATCTTAAATGAATAAATAATGCTTTTGACGTGACAGAACCAAACCAATAAAAGTGTGTTTATAGGAGTTACCCAACTATGCATAGCATTTGCAGAAATTAAAGCCCATGTTGGCCATTTAGAGAGTAGCTTGCTGAAAGGAGGGACCTTTCGTAATCTTTCACCTCCAGATTGAGTTTTTACCAATTTCTGACCCCTGGTTATATAATCTAGTTCATGTGCTGATATTTGTGCATTTTCACCTGGAGTCCCTGATATAGCAGATATCCACACCAACACCCATAGAAATCCAAATAATCCAAATATCACAAATGGTCCAAAAATTCCAGCTCGTGACATGATGATAGGGGAAAGAAGTAAACCAATGGTATTGCCAAGCTGAAAACCAGCCATTGCAATCCCGACAGCACTTGATCGCTCTGTGCGAGGAAACCACCTATAAGAAAAGACTTGAACCAATTAGTTTCCTAAACAGGGCAGCAATGCAAACACATAATATTAGGTTGTGGCGAAAACGTGAAGATTGATAAATGATCAAAAGAAATACCTCAACACCATGTTGTTCATACTTGGGAGTGCCACCCCTTCTGCCATACCCAGCAGAACTCTAGTTGAGAGGAACAACCAGAGAGAGCGAGCAGCTGCCCAAGGGGAGAGGAATGTAGCCAAGGACCATAGAGCCACGCCATAAGCCATAACTCGCTTTCCGCCATAGTAGTCGACCAGTGCTCCACCAATTATTGGTGACACCAGATAACCCCAAAGGAAGGATGACTGTTTGGAGTGTCAACAATTCATTAACTCGGTGATATCACCATACTGTACAGATAGGATGCATAGAAACCATTGGTAGTTCATGCTACTTCCTCAAATGCGACATTATTTATACTAGAATGCTTGATTGTCTCAAGTTCTCTTGAAGAAATAAAATGATGATATTAAGAATGAAGTTTAAAACGATTGACTAAACTAAACTGACAAAGAAAAAAAAATCTTCCTCCTCCATTTGAAGGAAATGAACTAAATTTACAGTAGCCACAGCATCATTAAACCTTAACTGTTTGCACCTGATTATATGACCGCATCATTAAATGAATAACATTGCATTTCAATCTTTCTAACATCAGCACACATTCTATGACGACCCGTGTATGTGCATCTGTACCTGCAGCCAAACAAATGTAGACAGAATTGACTAAAGCTGGGGAGGGACCTGCACGACGCCGGCGAAGGACGGGGTCCATCCGTACGCCTGCGACAGCGGCACGATGGCGACGGACATGACGACGCGGTCGGCGTTGCAGAGCGCGAGAGCCAGCCCCAGCATCGCCGCCACCTTCACCCTCTCGGACGTCACGAACTCCGCCAACACCGCCTGGGCCTCGGCTCCGCCGCCGGGCGAAGCCCCAGGAAGCGACGTAGCGGGAGGAGGCGGCCTGGACAGACGCCGGGGAGGCGCAAAGGGAAGTGGATGCGCCGGCGAGAGGCGGCCGTGCGGCAGCCATGTAGGCGGAGGTAGCGCCCTGCCGAGGACCAGAGTAGGGAGGCGGCGGCGGCGGCCGGAGACGAAGGGAGGAGCGGAAAGGGGCAGGAGCGAGCGGGCCAAGGGGAGCAGTTGGCCCGGAGGAGCCATCCCTTCCTTCGTCCTCTCCTCCGGCGAAGGGGAAGCCGGCGGAGGGAGCGGAAGTGATGGATGATTCCGATGAAGTGGATTGGTGGAGTGACGTGTCAGATGCACGGGCCGTCTTTTTTTTTTTTTTTTTGGTCGCGGTTGGTGGCGGCGGAAACGGGCTTGGGCCTGGCCTAAACTGGACCATCTAGAAAGCCCATACGGCCCCATTGACAATGAAAGGCTCCCTATTTTCCGCTTCGTATTCTGCTCTCATCGAAGGCATTGAATGTGATAACCAACCTCGAAAATAGGCTCCCGCATCGCGTAACCTACCTATAAAATTGGAGAGAAAGCGAAGAAAACGAATCGCTCGCACCGGTAGACGGCACAGTACTAGTAGATCGGAAGGCGAGAACCGAGAGGGCGAGTATGTCGTCGACGCCGGCGGCGGCGGACACGGCCGAGACGGATCAGGCTGACCTGAAGCTAGTGAAGGCTGAGCCGGGGACCGGCCCTGGCCTGATCACCATCACGGTGACGAGCCAGACCTTCGCCGACGTCTACTTCGCCATCAAGCCGCGGGTCAAGCTGCGGCGGGTCATGGACCTCTACTGCGGCAAGCACTCGCTCGACCCCAAGACCGTCAAGTTCATCGACGACGACGGCCGCTTCGTCCGGTCCGAGCAGACGCCGGAGGAAGTCGGGCTGCAGGACGGCAGCACGATCTCGCTCGCGATCGACCAGCAGGGCGGCGCGTGCATCTGCGAGAACTAGCAAGGCTTCCTGGTTAATTTGCGCCCCCCCCCCCCCCCCTAAGCCGTTGCTCTATGTATTGATCGTTGGCACACTTAAATTTGCCTCTTGCACAACATTTTTACATGTGCGGTGTAATTTTCAGTATTGTTAAGTGTCCACGACACATTATTACTGAACACCTCCCGCATTCTCCGATTCACAAGAGTTTACAGTAAATTGCGCTGGTGGTATCTAAACTTATGAGTTGTACACAATTCAGTCTGCAAACTTAAAAAACATTTGTTTTAGTATATTACCGTAGGAAGTGCATGTAGACGAAGGCAAAATGGTTATACCAAGACTAATCTTGTGAAGTTGAACGCTAGGTACTTACGTAGGATGCAATGCAAACACACGGTATTAAGGCATGTTCACTTTGATGTCATTTTCACTATTTAAAGCATACCATTTTTTTTATATAGTTGTCAAAAAAATATCTACGTTTAGTTTGTTGCCAAATTTGATCAATACATAAGAAATCATGTCTCAGTAAGGTTTATTTTGTCTACAATCTGAACATGCCCTTAGTATCTGATAAGGATGGTACATTGGTGAATACGTGTTTGGTCAACCATATAATATAAGATGTATAGAAATAGATTAATGTCTAAGATAGGAATAGATGAAGGAAAAAAATACATAGAGTTATTACCTGATAATAACATGAGCTTCTTAGTTACACATGTGGCACTATAATCATTGTGCACTTTATCAATATACTCCCTACGTTTTCTTTACTGTTTTAAAAAATAATAGTGATAGTGGTAGAATTATCATGTGCGACCTGTGAAAAGTGAGAAAAAACTTTGCCTTTTTTAGCCTTACAAGCTAGACCCCACACAAGAAAAATATGAGTATCAAATACCTTTATTAAAGAAATTTTTGTTGCTCTATGATATATAGATAATAGGAATAATTTCTTTTACAGGCTATAGAAATGTATACAATGAACGTTTTTTTATTAAAATATATGTTGCAACACACGAGTATTATACTAGTAAAATATAATATTTATTAGTTTTTACATGGTAACTAACATTATACATTATACTTTGACCATTAATTTTTAAAACTATATTGTCAACGACCAAATACAATTAACGACGCTACACACATTCTCTGAACTTATTTAGGATAGGAGGGGTATATTTTTATTGTTAAACTATTAGTCACAATTTTTAAATATTGATTTTACGAAAACTAAAGATGTCTTATATGTTTAAATTGAGGGTTTGTTAAGCCCATGAATCCAACAATTATAATATGCAAAAATTGTTTCCATCCATAAAAAAAATACTATCATAGTTTTCTAATTCCAGGATTATTAAGCTCTAGCTTTCTGGGAACTTTACTTTGTTTAATTTTCTTGGAAAATGGAAAAAACCACCCCATAAGTCACTTGAAGTTTGACATTTTACCTCGTAAATCATTTTGTTGCAAATGCTATCTGGTCAGTTTTTGTTGTAAAACCACCCCAATACGCATATGTTTAACTAAATCAGCCTGTTATCACTTATGTAGAGTCAATCTTGTCCAAGTGCTTGCATTAGATTTATTCTTTGTTAAATTGTTTTCTGTGCATGTGGCGAAACTCAGCCTGACAACATTTAAGCTCTCATTAGCATTTCTATTTATGGAATCTTTTAAAAAAGTATCAAAAAACTATACCCTAGAAAATAATTTTGGTGAAGATCACATTGACGGCTCATGATTTATGAAAACTTGTTGATTTGGTTAGACATGTGCACACTTGGATGGTTTTTATAGCAAAACTGATTAGGTATATTAGCATTTTCAATAAAATGACTTTATAAGGTGAAATATCAAACTTCAAGTAATTTTACAAATTTCCCTTCATAATATGATTAAAAACTTATCAACGGGTTAAGATGGCCGGTGGCATTTAAGACAAGACACACTTGATGTTGGCCGCCCCTCATCTAGGGATCGACTTTAGCAGTTTCATATAAAGCGTGTTCGCTTATAAGAGCGAGTACAATAACATGCTACAAAGTTAGTTATATGTACATGTGGAGAAGATTAGAGAATAGAGAAGGAAAATGTGCTACATATTTAATTGTAGCCAGCTGCAGCACGAACTCCAAAACGTTATGTGTGTATGAGAGGTAGGACAATATATTAATTATGTAGTATATATTTATAGGTAGCTAAATTTTATAAATGAGCTAATTAAATTGGCTATAAATGATTTGGAGCTAATTGTTGGCTATACTATTAAACTTGCTCTAAGCCATGCAAACTGAGCAAAGTGTTAAACATTTTCAGCCTCTGCACTTTTATGGTTATATGCATATATTTTGACAAACTAATATGGTGAAATAAAATAGGGACGGGATAAACGAAAATTGTGTATCAAGGCCAGCCCAATGCAATCTCATTAAGCCTTAGATGACCATAGTACCAATGCATCGGGAAGTTTGAAGGTTAAAATGAGGTGAAGGTCAAAAACATTGCATCGGGAAACTTAAAGCTCTGCTTATTTGTGAAGAAATAAGGATATGTTTAGATCCATTTAGAACGGCAAATAAGGATATGTTTAGAAATAAGCTTAGTGAGGACTGAGAAGTGACATGGTCGGACAACACTTGTGTCATCGAATGTCTCCACACATCGATCGACCTTCTCGGCGGGCAGTACTATCGCCATATCTGCTTTGTTTCTCACCGTGCTGCCATGCGACAGTGGCACAGTGCAGTGCATGCAGCTACAGTGCCAGACTGCAGGAACCGGACACGGGATGGAGAGTGCAGAAGGCAAACAGGGCGATAACACGCTGATTTCTCGACAGGGCGTAGTAGTAGTTTGTTGCATGCGATGGGGTCGGGGACTCCTGATCGATCGGTTGATCGTCTTGCTAGTTGCTAATGCCGCCACACATCCTCTGTCTCTCACTCCCTGATCACACATCCTCTGTCTCTCACTCCCTGATCGAGGCTGGCTTAAGTACGTACGGTCAATGCATATGCGTCATTCACCATGCCATTGCATATCCTCGGCGGTACACGGAATAGTCCGATGCGTGCAGTTTGCACGAGCCATCTGATCGAGAATCAATGCTCCACGCATGGAGAAAGAAAAATTCGGAGTAGTACGACTTGTTTGTTTCGTTCGTTTTATCGTGTCACTCTGATTGCAGAATCGGAATTTCCATGCAACCCCAGGCAATGACACAAAACAGCAGCCTGCATTCAGCAGGCCATGTCTACGAATATGGCCCGTCTCTGATTGATGACGTAGCATAGCTCCATGCAGCCCGCAGGGGACTCTGCTACTAGTACGTCGACCGAAAACATGGGACACATTCCTGCAACGAATGAGACGACGGAGACGAGATGACCGGCCGCCGTCAGCGTCAACGCGCTCTCATGCAAAAAAAAAAAAGGGGGGGGGGAGGGGGGGGGGGGGAGGAGACCACCGTACCGCGCTAAACGGCGATGCGCCTGCGGCCGCTGCCTGCCTCCGGTGGTGGCGGTCGTACCGACGTCCAGTCGCGAGTCGAGCGTTCGGGCCTTCGGGGGGACACCGCGCCGGGTGCCACTGCACGCGGCGCGTACTAGTACTACCCAGCTCCGCACGGCGGAATCCGTGGCGTTTTTGACGTGAGACAGGAGATGCGACGCCTGCCGGTTCGTCGTGGTTTTTGGTTGGCGCAGCCGATGCAGGGGCGCTCGATTGACCCGCGGTCTCGTGCTTGTCTTTGCCATCATTCCGATCGATTCCACTGTGATCCGTTCGTTCCTGCGTGGGACGGTTTCCGTGACCGTGGGCCGCGGCCAATACTACTGGCGCTATGCCTTCGGTGAAAATTGCACCTCGCGCGGTTACAAACTTTACACCGATGAATGATTAAAGAGAACAGGATATAGAGTGAAATCCATGGTTCCATCCCAGCGGGAAAATGATTTGATTTGGCCGTTGCCTCATATCGATCTCATGGTGACCACTGACTTAGATCGTGCGGCGCACGTCTGTCGCCGAGATCACATGGCTGCAAACGCGGGCCGCGCCTTTGCGGATAACGCGGGCCGCTCACTAGCAAGTAGCTCATCCGAAAGCACGCAGCGGCGATGTGGCCGCCAAGCTGTGTGGCTGGCTGTGTCAGCATCTGCAGAGCTCCATCCAAGATCCACACGGAGCTCTAGTGGTAAAGCGAGGCAGCGACGCATCGACACGATGAGGGCCAAACGCCTGCGCGGCGCAAGAATTGCACGAAAGAAACAAGCGCGGGCGAGGGGGTGCGAGAGGGAGACGGGACGGCGACAACGGTGAGCCCCATCGGCAGTCGAGACGGTGGCGCCCTTTGCCGGCGGGCCAGAGGAATATATACGTGCCGCCTTTAACGGTTTCCGAGGCGGCGGCAACCCGAGCACGGCCACCTTTAAGGACCAATCACGTGCAGTGGCGACGGGCCCGACCCTGGACACTGCTACGGTCGGAGCCGCATGAAGCAAGCACCGGCTCGCGCTCTAGTACTAACGTGTCCATGTCAAGCTCTCCCATCAGGTTCCCATGGAGCTCTCTCCCCACGGTCCAAAAGAACAAAAGAGTGGCTAGCTGCCTTGGGCCCTCGCATTTGACACTTGACACAAAGCGAACAAGTGATGATGCTACTCAAGTGTGACGCACCATCTGGTGGGGGACTCCCAACTCCTGAATTAGGATCTGTTTAAATCCAAATTTAGGTTGAACGAGACACTTTAGTAAGCTGCAACTCGTAGCCATGCTCGTACTTAGTCATAGAACTCATGGCAAGTCGACAACACGGTTGATTTAACGATATAAAACACGATACGGATAGAGGAATTTATGAGATGAATCGCGCGTTATCCACCCCCCCCCCCCCCCAAAATGGACAGAAAGAACAAGAAGCTTACAATAATACATGAAGATTTTATGGCTATGGCGGTATTATCCCCCCCTCCTTTTCGGCTGCAAGCGTGGCATTAGTACATCCGGAGTAGGCTACGGGCGAACGATTGCGAAGTCAGCTGCCGCCCGGCCTTGGCCGGCAGGCCGCCCCCGCCCCCGCCGCCGCCGCCGCCCCGCCGCGCACCACCGCCGCCGCCGCCGCTGCGCATCGGCGTCAGGTAGAAGCGCAGCATGCCGTTGTCCACGCGCCCCGGTGGCGAGTACCGCGCGCTGCGGTTACGCTCCAGCACGTGCTCCTCCCGACGCCTCGCGCTGCTCCCGTTGACGTCCACGTGGCTGCGCCTCGAGCTGCCAAGCCCGCCGCTGTTGCTGCTGAACGAGCTGCGCGCGCTCAAGTTGCTGTTGCACCGCTGCATCTTGGGGTTGTACCCACGGACGCGCAGGTCCGGCCACGCCTCCGAGAACGAGCGGTCGGCGATGTCGGACGGGCCGCCGCTCCGGCGGCCGGAGGCCCTCCGGTGAATGAACCCCCACAGGCTCCACGCCTTGCGCCACCGCCGTGGCTTCTTGGCGCTGCCGGGGCCTGACAAGGCGGCCTCCAAGCTCGCGGAGATGTCCTCGATGAGGGAGTTGGAGCTGAACCCACGGTCGAGCAGGTCCTCGGCATGGTGGAAGTGGTAGAACTCTGAGCCGCCGAGAGGGGATTCCTTGCCGTTAGCTATGGTGGTGGGTGCTGGTTTTGGCTCGGTGACTTCGAATGACGGCCTGCGCACGGAGCTGGAGCGTTCCAGGCTGCGGCGTCTCCTGGTCGAGGAATCCAAGTAGTAATCTCTTGTCTGCAAGGAGCCCCCTGGTGGGTCAATGTCGGCGTCGTCTTCCACCGGGATTTGGCCGTCAGAGCGCTCGACAATGGTGGCCGGGGTGTCCTCCAGGACGGACATCATAGGAGGGAGGCGGGAGAGCGGCGGAGGCGCGCGGCCGAGGCCAATGCCGGCGCCTGCACCAAACAAGTAGCCGTCCCATGACGCGCGTGGCTCGTCCCAGGAGAAGCCAGCGTCGTCGACGGACATGCGGCCGGCGTCCAGGGAGAAACGCGGGTCGGTGTCACACGAGCGACGGCCCCCGGCGAGTTCCGAGCCGGCCTCCCCCCGCAGACGCCTCCGCCGAAGGAACGATGGCTTGGACGGCTTCTCCGGCGGCGGCATTGCCGCAGCCGCCGCCTTGCTCACGGCGGCCTCCTTCTTGAGCTTCTGCTTGCGCCTCCATTTCTGCCACTTCTTGCTGAACACCGAGGCCGCGACCCAGAAGCTCTCTTTCAGGTCTTTCGTCGGCGGCTTCTTCGGCTGCGACGACTCGAAATCCATGTGATCCTTCATGGCCTTCCCTTCCCGGGCCACCACATTGGGCTCGGTTTCGATCTCCCCGGAGGTGTCCACCACAATGACGGGCTCCACCACCGGCATTATCTCATCGTGCTCCATGACGACGGGGATATCTTCGTCCAAGAAATCGTCCGGGATGAATGGTCGCGGCGGCGGCGGCGGCGGCTGTTGATGGGGAGGAGCAATGTCAGCGGCGGAAGATGACGACGGGACACGGCCACGGTCATCCTGGTGGAACAGCGACCACAACGTGCTGTGCCCACGCACGTCGCACGAGCGCCGCTGTGGCTCATCAGCTCTGGCGGTGCCGGCCGCCGCCGCAGCAGCAGCAGCCGCGAGCGCGTCCCCCCCGCGGCCGCACGAGAACGACTTGCAACGCCGAAGGTCCGGCAGCGACGCCCCGGCGCCGGCGACGGACGAGCCGCCGGCGCCGCCGCCGAACGGCCTGGCGAACAGGGACCGTATGGCCGACGTGGACTTGCGCCCAGGCGCGGAGGCCGCGGCGGCGGACGCCTCGAGCCCCGCGAGGCGCTCACGCAGGCACGCGGTGCAGAATCCGGTGAACGTCTCGTCCGGGTGCAGGTCGCAGCTCGTCGCCGCGGAGCGCCGGGCCGGCACCACCGGCGGGTCCAGCTGCAGCGTCGTCATCGTCACCGTCGCCGCTTCACCCTCTCCACCCCACCCCACCCCCCCACCCCCCACCACCACCCGGGCGTCACAATGCCACTAGCACCGTTGCGCCATTTACACTCGTGCTGCTGCTGCTGCTGCTATGGTAAGGAAGCAGTTGTTGCGGGCACACGAGAGAGGGGAGCGGGGGTTTTAGAAGAAGGCGCGCGCATCGCCGCATCGGTGAAGAAGGGGAGGAGAGAGGAAAGCGAAAGTTAAAGGCGAATCACGGGCCCCGGCGAGGAGCGAAGGCCTCTCACCCTGTCTCTCTCTCTCCCATCGCATGTGTCTCCCTCTCTCTAGTTCCTTTTGCTTTGTTGCTCTGCCATTCTTGGGCTTCGTGTCTCGTGTGTTGGCTTTCGTTCTCCTGCACACACACTCTCTCTCTCCATTCTGCGATCTGTGGAGCTCCGCAATCTGCGTCCTATCGGGATTTGCCTGATCCAAAGGTGATTACTTCGATCATAATCTGCACGCGTGTGGTAAAAAAAACGTCACTTTGCAGTTGCACGGAGCAACGGTCAGGGTTGCCGCGCGCGCTCGGCCGGAAGATTCGTCGCTCTCTCCGCGCTGCGGTTTCTTGCAATGAGAACTGCCTAGCTAGTCTTACAAATGGCAAGATCAATTTTCTGCAAATGCAAATGCGTACTTCCAAGTTTTTTCATGGTTAAACTTAAAGACACCTGAGAAGTGCTAATCAGTGCTGTAATATCTGTAATATCAAAGTGGGGTACTACTTAAGTCCATACTACCACAGTGCAATCAGTGAAGGCTTGACTTGGGAGGATGATCCACTATTTGCATGGATTTGTTTATGCGGCCAGATGGTTTTATCCTATCCAGTCAAAGCATTTTGAAAGCATAAGCATCTCTAAGAAGCTTTTGTTGACAAGTTGATGTGAACTTTGCCTTTCCAGCTTTTCCCTTTCTATCCTCATTTCCCTGTTCACTTCTCCTTTTCCTTCCCATTCCCACATGCCCAGGACCAAAAAGTGCAGGGCCTGTTTGGTAATTTCCTATAAGCCCACAAACACAAGAGAATGAAGCAGCATGCAGCCACACATTGTCCCTCCCTCCCACAAGTTCAGAAGTTCAGATTTGTCCTACTAGCCAGGAAAGAGAGGCACCAAAATTTAATAAAGTGCTGAAACATGGCATCTAATCTATAGTAACCTAGGGGGTTAGCACTTAGCAGTGTTGATTATGGTGCGCTAGGCACATGATAGGAGACCGAAGTTGTCGCCTTCTCGAGCTTAGGAATGATAATTAATCATGGTACCTCATCTTTTGTTCACTTTTGCTCCCTTAGCTTTGATCAGAATAGTCACCACGCATGTGTAATTTGCCTGCATAAATCCTAGTGTATCTTCTTCCTTGTTCTCTGATGGAGAATAAAGAAGCTGGAAGGGACAATTTTGGTACTACCTTCTCGAAAAGAATAGAGTGCATAGGATTAGGTTAGTTCAGATCCAAGAGATTAGATATCGGCCTATCTTCCCGTCACTGAAATGAAGATTCTTTGTCCGAGTGTTTTCACGGTCCTTGATAAATATTAAGTGATATCATATTTTCTATTATAAAATTTGATATTACCTCCGTTTCAAGTTATAAGATTTTTTTTATATTGTCCACATTCATATAGATATTAATGAATCTAGGCACGTATATATGAATGCGGGTAATGTTAAAAAGTTTTATAATATAAAACGGACGAAGTATCTCTTTATATCTTCTGTAGTGAAGTATAAAGTTTATAAAATATATTGGTACCTCTTAACAAATGTAAAATTACTCTTTTTGTCTATTTGCTGCTGTTTTGGGGTGTTCAGTCAATCCCCTAGCCATTAGACCCTGTTTAGATGGGAGTAAAATTTTTAAGTCACTATCACATCGGATGTTTGGACACTAATTATAAATATTAAACGTAGACTATTAATAAAACCCATCCATAATCTTGGACTAATTCACGAGACGAATCTATTGAGCCTAATTAATACATGATTAGCGTATGTGATGCTACAGTAAACATTCTCTAATTATAGATTAATTAGACTTAAAAAATTTGTCTCGCAAATTAGCTTTCATTTATGTAGTTAGTTTTGTAAGTAGTATATATTTAATACTCTAAATTAGTATCTAAATACATATACTAAAGTTAAGTCTCTGGATCCAAACACCACCTTACTATCTGATTCCTAACTCTCTCCCAAACTCCCATTTGCCTTTGTGACGCGTGCTACATTGTATAGAAAATCTTCGTTTAATATATTAGCGTGCAAAGCTTTTGATCGTTAGAAAAAAAAATCGCTGAAATCAAGGGCAGAAGGCGCGAGCGAAACCAAACGCTGTTCAGTGTTCAGTGTGAGCTCAAGGCAGATCACACTGTGCAGTCTTCATTTTGTACTTGATCACATCATTCTCCGTGAGATAATGACTTCAATGATTCGATCTCACCACGACTCCAGCACTTACCCAAAAAAATGAAAAATAATGTTTCCACGCAGCCTCAGCTATGCAGTGGCACGCCTAGACATATTTTGACTTCAGACGAGATAACAGGGCGCGCTTTATCACACGCAGTACAGATTCAGATTTCAGACGAATACAGGCACGCGAAAATAGTGATTAGAGGACATGGTGTCAACTCATTTGTACTGAATCAAATGTGATTGCCTACAAAACTAGACCTAAGTAACCATCACCTTTCGAACGTAAAGCTAATCAACCAAAAAAAAAAAAGCAGGAACAGTTCATCGCATTGGGATTTCATCGCCGCTGATAAGCTCCTCATTGCGACATTTTCAGGGACGCCTTTCTCGCGCCATTTTCCGCGAAAGGCGCCGCGCGAGAGAGCTCCGCATCAAAGATCTCAGTGATCCTGCGTGCCTGCCAAGATGCCAGGAAAACGAGAGAGAAAGAAAGAACACGATCAAGCGAGATGTGCAAACTAAATCAAGGAGTACATCTGTACAGGGGAAAGAGAGCGAGAGCAAAAGAAAGAGAGCAAGCTCGCGAGATCAGTGGACTGAGGAGGAGATGCTCATGATTGCTGTAACGTGCAAAAGGATTCGGCTTTCCCGATCCCCCGAGCTCGACGCGACGACGGAGGGTTGGATGGATGGATGGATGAATCGACGGATAGATTGACCCCCCCCCCCAAGGCTCCCCTTCCTCGCGCTAGATTGCTCTGTAGATCGCCATCGGCCTCGGCCTCGCCCTCGCATGAACTGAACTGCTGCGAGGTGTGCGCGCGAGCCTGCAAAGCGATAAAGGGAGAAAAGATCCACCGTTTCTCGGTTCTGACGAAGGAAAACGAGGCGCTTTACCAAAATCTGAGCTCGATCCATCAGGTGATCGCGTCTCGCCTGTAAAGCTCGCCGCGTCACTGTGCTCGGTTAAATTTATTTTTTCTTGCTTCCACGCGACGTAGATCCCCAGTGACAACGCAGAGGTGCAAATGCAATGCAAGTATCACAAAAGCCAACGGTTTCTTGTGAGTTCTTGCGAAAATACATACTATTTGCGACATTTCTATTTCCCTCCCACGATCCAAACAGCCTCGAGATTGTGCAGCGCTTTCAGTGGTGTCGCCGGTGCCCTCTCTCGTTGGCGCGTAATGGGACAAGGCAGGCAGGTGCAACAGCGAGGTGTATAGGGACATGTCCTGATCTAGGCCTAATCGCGCCAGTAGTGTTTTGGAGCTACCTGCGTGTAGTGTATCTTGGGCCTGCCTCACAGCCTCAGCCTGACGCTGCTAAACCTGCTAAAAGGAAGGAGACTGCAGGAGGAGGCTGCTGCTGTTGGCCTGTTGCTGCAGGGAGGCTGCAAGCAAGCGGAGCAGGTTTTTATTGTATCTGCCAGCTCTCTAGCTCCCAACAATTTTCTACTACGGCTTGTTTAGTATGTGAAAATAAATATTTTGAATGTCACATCGGATGTTTAACCGAATATTGGAATGACTTTTCGGACACGAATGAAAAAATAATTTTATAACTTGCTTGGAAACCGCGAGACGGATCCTTTGAGCCCAATTAATCTGTCATTAGCACATATGGATTACTGTAGCACTTATGGCTAATTATAGACTAATTAGGCTCAAAACATTTGTCTCGCGATTTTCCCCTTAACTGTGCAATTAATTTTTTCATTTATCTATATTTAATGCTTTATGCATGTGTCCAAAGATTCGATGTGATGTTTTGCGAAAATTTTTGGGAACTAAACAGGGCTACATTGGAAGTTCACTGGTGGAGAAACCCTTTGTAGTCCCAGTTCGTAACCCCCCTTTAATCCCGGTTTTCAAACCGGGACTACCAATCCAGGACTAAAGATCGCTATCTTTAGTCCCGGGTGAAATAACCGGGACTAAAGATCGATCTTTAGTCCCAGTTGGTTTTACCAACCGGGACTAAAGATCGAGCTGACCTTTTTTTTTTGCATGGCCCTGTTGCTGCATGGTTTACATACATACATATATATATATATATATATATATATATATATATATATATACATATATATATATATACATATACATATATATATATACATATATATATATATATATATACATATATATATACATACATATATATATACATACATACATATATATATATACATACATACATATATATACATACATACATATATATATATATATATATATATATATATATATATATATATATATATATAAGTAATTGAAAAAGTTTCATACTCATTTGAATTGGGTATATACTCAATTTCAACAATGGTGCCCGGGCACCATGGAGCACCAAACAAATTTACTATATATATATATATATATATTATATTTATATATGTTTCAATGCATATGTACATGCATAATATATATGTATTTATACATATATATATGTTATGCAAATGCATATGTATGTATGTGTATATATGTGTGTGTGTGTGTGTGTGTCTATATATATATATATATATATATATATATATATATATATATATATATATATATATATATATATATATATAT